AGTAAGGGGGAAGACGCTACGACATTTGTGTGCATGCATGAGAATTTTTGCAAAAGTTCATGGAAACTGAATGAAAAGATATCCTTATTGTTAAAAAAAAATGAAATTCATGCACACGACAGATCTTCAACAAGTTCAGAAAAATGTGTGGTGGATGGATTTTGAAAAGTGTTAAACCAAAATAAACATTTTCATTCCTTTTTCCCATGAACTTTCTGACATACCCTTGTATTATGTCAATGCTGGTAGGACAGTTTCCTTTTAAAATCTGAAAACTGGTGTAAGCTAATCTGCCACCGATTGGCTATATAACCTTGGAAGGCTATGTTATTTAATCTTCAGTTTTTTCATCTGTGAAATATCTGTAAGAACAGCACTTATGGCATAGAGATGTAAAACATTAAGCCAGATATAGTGTACAAATGTTCTTAGAATCTTTTTATAGCACATACTGAGCTACTGTTATTGTTCATGAGTTCCTTATTTGAATCCCTCCCCTCTGCCTCAACTGCTCTTATTAATAGGACTTGTGGATTCTCCTTGAGTTTTATTTTACTTCTGTACTGATGAAAGTGTTCAGTGTTCTTCTGATCAGTCTCCTATACATCTCTCAGAGTTCTCCCCTTGTTCTGTTTTGTAGCATGTACGGTATTGCTTACTTCCCAGAAGGCTGTGTGACACTGTCCATTTCCTTGCAACCTCTGTTCTTCCGGAGAGCTGTAGCCAGTCAACACTGGCCTCTCCCTCATTCTGGGCAAGAATTCCCACTCACTGACAAATTCTAATCCAATAGTCTGTTAGAATGGCATGTGTATCAGAAACCCCAGATGCAAATTCAAGCTTGATCACTATCGAGCTGTATCACATCCCTGGGAAAAAAAACAAAAAACAAAAAACAAAATGAAACAGCACCTATCCTTGGTAATGCCCTTAGGAGTGGGGATGCTAATGGGCCTCTTCTTTATCCTCCACAGGACTATTATACTCCTTTATAGAGTGGCTGTGAGTGATTTTAAAACACTAACACATTAGATGACTTAGTATCATTATAGCAGACTTAGCAATATTATAAAAAATATTAATAATATAACCCATGACAGGATAATGAGATAATAAATTTTGCTTTGTGCGAGTAGGTTAATTTTGACAAACAAGTGTTTCAGAGAGGCTGAACATTACTCATCATTCTTCTTTTATCTGGCCACTTATCTAAAATCCATTTTTTTTTTCTTTTCATTATGCTCACAGGAAAATTCCGCCTTTAATGCTCTAAAAGCAAAATTTCTTCCAAAGGACCTCTGACCCCTTGTGCATGGTTTAAAATCTAGTAACAAACCCTAGACGATTCACTTCTCTTTTTGATAAACAGAGAAATCCAGTTCAGGGCTCTGCAGCCAGACTGCCTCACTTCAAACCCACACGAGCTTCATGAGCATGAATAACCTCTCTGTATCTCCATTTCCTTCTCCATAAGGTGCTTGTGGATGGTGCTTTTTCTGTCTGTCTGTTCGCAGTGCCAGCCATAGACCCTGTGGTAAACCCTCTGAAACACAAGCTGTGAGATGTAGTGGTTGCTGGTCATGAGGCATAAATGCTCCCGCCATGGCTGATGTCAGACCACCAGTGGTTTAATAACTAGCTTGCCACATCCTTGAATATTCAAAAGCCATCTCTCATGACCCCTTATGAGCTGGGTCCTGCACACCGCTGCCTGTTACTCAGGCACTCAATCAGTGTGGATTGGTTAATCAGTCAAGCTGGCTGCGGCATCAAGTAGCACTAGATATTCCACAAAAGATAATGAAAATGACAAAATGCAGGAGGAAGTGTGAATAAAAGAGAGCGCAATGGAAGAGCCTCATTTTAAATGCTGATTTTCCAAGGCGCAGAGACATCCAATTGCTTCTCTGCCATCGGATAAGAAATCAGGCCCATGACCCACGTTAAAATCCAGTTTCTATGCTAGTGATTAAAATGGCCCTTATTTCCAGAGAGCCCCTTTTTTGTACTGCTGCTGTCTTCGGCTGCTTCTGAGACAGCTTTATATAAGAAACTGTCAGCTGTTTGGCGCAGTAGAAGCTGTGGGAGGTGGCAGGGTTTTTCCCTTGTTTCCCTTTTACCTTAGGCTACCCCCTCCTGAACTCCCAGGTCTTCATTGCTGTGGTTTCCAAAGACTTGAAGGGTGATTACCGCCCGCTCCACCCTTTAGGAATCTAATCCATGCTCACAAGTTATTCTTTATCTCCAAGTAATGTAATACCCTGACCAAGAACTACCCAGGTGACATGAAGAAGCATTTTACCCATTCTCACCTGTTTTTAGCAATTCCCAATTCCATTAAAGTAAGCAGCTCTCCAAATTGGAAAAAATAATAACCCCAAGTCAGCATAATTTGAAGCAATCATAACTCAAACTACTGCCTCCTGCCCACAGACCTCAGGCTGGCACCTTGTAGTTGCAGTTTGCATAACCAATGTTTTTTTCTTGTGAGTTCCCTGTTGCATTAGTATTGTATGCAGGGATTCTCCACATATGAAGAATCTTCTAAAAAATTATAAAGATACAGCATGAAAAATAATTATGCATGGTATTCAAATTTTTGCATCAAAATATCTTCTAATTCAACTTTTTCCATGAACTTTTTGATATCTCTTCTTTGTATGTCTCTGATCCCATAAGATTTGGGAGCCAGGAAAATGAGACTACACAAATTTCTCCCCTTGAGAATGGTGATTTCTCTCTTTCCAATAGCCTTCTCAAGCCGAGATTAGCCCTCTCTGGATCTGTGAGCGACACACACACACACACACACACACACACACACACAGTCCTGATGTCCTAATCTGTAAACTCCCCACACCAGTTACTGACCACTGGTAAGAGCCCTTCAAGTAAGAGACATAATGGCTCTTAGTAATACTATCAAAGGTGAAAAATGAGGAAAACCTCATTGACAACTTCAAGGTAATAGTGAAAACTTGCTATCACAACTGCACCATCATGGGAGTCAAGTTTGTATTCCTGTGCCCATAGGAAGGAGAAACACTCTAGAGGAAGAAACACCTGCAGACAGTAGGAAAGATTGGTCCTGAGAGACCCACATTCCAGCTGAGAGGACAACTGGGATGTGCAGCTCCCATGTACACAGGAGCTGGAGGTGTTGCTCACTTCTGAAGGGGAGGTGATGGGGAGACTGTCTTTCAAAATTATATTTTTTTATTGGAAAGGCAGATATGCAGAGAGGAGAAAAGACAGAGAGAATCTGTTGATTCACTCCTCAAGTGGCCACAACAGCTGGAGCTACGCTGATCTGAATCCAGAAGCCAGGAGCCTCTTCCAGGTCTCCCATGCGGGTACAGGGTCCCAAGACTTTGGGCCGTCCTCAACTGCTCTCCCAGGCCACAAGCAGGGAGCTGGGTGGGAAGCATGGCTGCTGGGATTAAAACTGGCACCCATATGGGATCCCGGCATGTGTAAGGCGAGGACTCTAGGTGCTAGACTACCATGCTGGGCCCATGGAGACTGTCTTAATGGAAGACTTGGCCAAACAGCCAATGTGGATTCCTAATATTCCTTTGCACAGGCAGGCAAACTGCTCCACTACACCCTAGCTGAGTCTGCAAATGACATTGCATTATCCATTAGCATTTACAAAATAAGCAATTTTTAACTTGAGGAAACACAAAAAGTCGTATAGAAAAAGAAAGATAACCATAGTTCACTACCTGGTCTAGCTGAATTTCAGTCAGTCATACTAATACACATAGTGATGACTGGCTTAATCAGAATTGTGCTATAATGCACTGGGAAAAACTTCCTCTGCGGTAGGACTGAAGATTTGACAAAAAGAGTGAAAAGCTGAATGAAAATGCTTAAAACTAAAATTGGGTACGATAGAACAAGCAGTGAATATGCTGCTTGGGACACCAACCCGCATGCGCATCCTATAATTCAGTGTCTGAGGTTTGAGATGCAGCTACACTTCTGCTTTTAGCTTCTTTCTGATGTGCATGTTGTGAAACAGAAGAGCATAACTCAAGTCCTTGGGTCCCTGAAGCTCAGAGGAGACCTCGATTGAGCTGTAGGCTCGTGACTTTGGCCTTGGCAATCCTAGCTGCTCCCACTGTCTGGGGAGTGAAACAGCAAATGGAAGGCTCATCTCTGGCTCTGCCTTTTTATTTTAAATAAATAAAAATGAAAAATAGAAAATATTACAAAATTACAAAATAACATGGAAGAAAATACTGAGGAATTATCTTTTAAATTTAAAGTAGGGGGAAAACACCTTTACTAATTATTCATCCATTCGCTGTAGATAATGCTATTTCTTGTAACAATCATATTTCCCCTGGTATTCAGTATTCTCTATCCTGGAGACATGAGTACATATTTCTTCATGATGGGTTCATGAAAAGAGAAAAAATGCAAAAATAAGCACAGAGATGGGGAGCTGTTGAAGTTCTTCCATGACCCTGCGCAGCTATCTATCTGAGGTTCATCTGAATTGACAGATATCCTCATTTTACATGTTCTTGCCTCACTTTTTCTCCAGGAAAATTTGTCAGCTCCTCACAAATGAGATAGGGCACTGGGGATGGGACAAGGGCTTGGGAAGAGCTTACATGGCACTGTGCTAACCTTACCTTTCTGGAAGCCTCCTGCCTTTCCCAGTAGTAGTGTGGCAGAGAATGCTCCTTGGCCTCTGCTCTTGGGTGGCTCTTAAGATTTTCACTAGCATGGATGTAGGTGGTTAATTAGGTGACCAGCAGGAAATTCAAAGTGTAACTTGGTGTTTGTGTGGCAAGATGTGCTCCAGATACTCGACTTGCTGATGATCTCTGGAATCGGAGCCCTTAGGAGATGGTTCAACAAGGCACTGGGGTGAGCAGGGCGGTGGGCACAGGTTCCAGCCGAGTACTCACACACACACACACACACACACACACACACTGAGCTCGACACAGTAGCATCCTGATTCACAAGCTCCTCTTTTTTCCCAGGCTATCAGTGTTCCTGTCTCTCTCAGTTCACGGGGAGAAACTGTGAATCTGAGATTACAGCCTGCTTCCCAAACCCCTGCCGGAACGGGGGGTCCTGCGACCCAATAGGCAACACTTTCATCTGCAGTTGTAAAGCTGGCCTCACTGGAGTCACGTAAGTGGGACTGTGCATGCTCTTGCTCGCTCTCTTTTTCTCTGCTGCCACTGGTTGCTTGAGAAAAACCAATCAGAAAGGAAATCACTTGGATAAAATATATACCATTAACAAAACAGGCAAAGGGTTTCTGTCTATACTATGTAAGGAGTGTTCATAGGTGATTACATGGGGACTGTCTGAGCAGTGCAAGTACAGGCAATTTGTTTTATTTTGAAAATTCTACATTATGTAGTTTGTAATTTGGAATACAGTTTATTTAAACAAAGTCACCTGTGGCCCTAATACTTCAGCTATAATTATGAAGCTGGCACTCTCCATTGCCTGAAAATCCATTTACTGGACTCTATTATATGAAGCTTTATGATCATTATGAGAAACTAAACCTTGCCTTGCCTTCGCAAACTTTTTTTTTTCTCCAAAGAATGGTATTAGCCAAATGGAAAGGAAATGTTTTACGTTCTCCATAAAATGCTGGTTTCAACTGTACCCATTCATTTTAGAAGAGTGAGTGTGTGTGTGTGAGTGTGTGTGTGTGTGTGTGTGTGTGCGCATGTGTGTGTGCGTGTGCGTGTGTGTGTGCGTGTGTGTGTGTGTGTGTGTGTGTGGATAGATATACAGATATAGATATATTTATCTACATCTATATATACATGTACATACATATATATACACACATACACATAATCTCAATCAAGTAATACTCTAATTACAGATCAGTCTTATGTATTCATTAGAGTAAATCTCCCAAGGACTTTACCAGGAAATACTTAGCCGGCTTTGAATTGCTGGATGTAATTTCAGGCAATAAAGATGCATTTAGTTTTAAATACTCTGTGATTCTGACTAATTTCCGGCTGACCTGGCTTCAATCTGTTCAAATTAGGAACATTTGACTACATTTAAATAGGTGGATTGCCCAAAATATAGGTGCTGGAGCCTTTTAAATGCATGTATCCAAACAATCACTGACATAGACAAAGTGAAGGAGGAAGCAGGTCTGTAATCTCCAATAATGTCAAACTAAGAAACAGCAAGACTTAGATGCTTGCCTTGTAATTATGTCAAAGCAAAACATGGGCTGCTTTTAAGAGAATAAGATGATTTAATTATTTTTTCGTTAAAATGTTGTGGTCATTTCTTCCTAATAGTCTATATTACCATTAGCCCTCACCATGGGCATAAACTCTAGGGGATTCGTTGCCCTTCACCCACCATCCTATCCCCTGCAGTTCCCAGCTTCCCAGAGGAACTAAAAATGACTAACAGCATCAGAGGAAAATGTCATCCAAAGATTTCTTCCTCTTGGGAAACCCCATAGTGAGCCTACAGGTTGATAGCTTTTTATCTGCGATTTTACAATACCCCAGGTTCTGAGAGCTAGGAGCATTTTGGGTACATTAGTGGGAAACTAATTTGGTGGCGAAACACATCCAAAACTACTGAACTACTGCGAGGCTCTTCCTTGTGTTTCCAGCGCTCCTGTGTCTGAATATCTACACGGTTCCCTGCAGAAATGCTGGCACTCTTGGACTGTCGGGTCGCACAGGAGCACTGCTGCCTGTCGGAGGGGAGAGGTGTTTTGCGTAATGTGAGAGAGATGTGCTGTGGGTACTTCTTCACAGTTTTGAATTCGGAAATACATCTGGCCCTGAGCATTTGACGGCAGTACTTCAACAGCCAACAGCCCCTATTCATTCTCTTTTTCTCTTACCAAGTTCTTTATTCCTGTAACCTGGGTGGCGGAGGAAGACTGGGGAGAGACTGAATGAATGCATTTGATGATGGGACTACAGGGGGCTCAGAAATGTTTCAATCATAGCCATACATACATTTTTTGTCTTGCTTCATCCTTTCCCTTCAGGTGCTTTATTTTCTAAGAGGCCAGCTTTTCCTTGGGTTCACCTGCGCAGCCGGGTCTTGATGGAATGGGTTGTGTGTTCTCTCGGCACAGGTGCGAGGAAGACATCAATGAGTGTGAACGGGAGGAGTGCGAGAACGGCGGCGCTTGTGTCAACATGTTTGGCTCCTTCCTGTGCAACTGCACGCCGGGCTACGTGGGCCAGTACTGTGCGCTGCGCCCCGTGGTGGTACCCAACATCCAGGCTGGCCACTCCTACGTGGGTAAGGAGGAGCTCATTGGCATCGCTGTGGTGCTCTTTGTCATCTTCACCCTTGTTGTGCTCTTCATCGTCTTCCGCAAGAAGGTTTTCCGCAAGAACTATTCACGCAACAACATCACGCTGGTGCAGGACCCTGCAACAGCCGCACTGCTCAACAAGAGCAATGGCATCCCCTTCCGCAGCCTGCGTGGTAGTGGCGGCGATGGCCGCAACGTCTACCAGGAGGTGGGTCCACCGCAGGTCCCAGTGCGCCCCATGGCCTACACCCCTTGCTTCCAGAGTGACTCCAGGAGCAACCTGGACAAGATCGTGGACGGGCTGAGTGGCGAGCACCAAGAGATGACCACCTTCCACCCTGAATCCCCCCGCATCCTCACAGCCAGACGTGGAGTGGTGGTGTGCAGTGTGGCGCCCAATCTGCCGGCTGTGTCTCCCTGCCGCTCGGACTGTGACTCGCTGCGGAAGAACGGCTGGGACTCGGGGACAGAGAGTGAGTATGAAGGAGTCCATGAGGGAAGCACGGAAGACTGTGTTGGGCCATGAAGGGCTAAAGGGTTTGGGGAAAAGGAAGGCTGTCAAGTGATCATGGAAAACCCACTCATTCCGCTTGGCTGAAATGCAGTGTCCATGCTGCAGCGCAGGGCAGCCTGAGCCGGTGGTGGTGGTCCCCTCTCCTATGTGAGTCACGGCTGCAGAGGCCCTGGGGTGGAAAAGAGTATATGTTCAACACCCAGGATGTCAATATAGTGGGAGCCTGGTGAGCATCGAGAGCACATGCATTTTATTATTATTTTCCACAATACAGCTTATAGCTTAGGAATTCACCTCCCTTCTTCTCTAACCATTTCCCCCTCCCACAATGTGTCTTCGGATTATCAGGATAGTATGGTTCCTCAGTACAAGTTGCAAGCTTGACTTCTTGGTATTTAAATGTATCATGACATGGTAAGTATAGGGAAAGGTAGAAAATCTAGTGTGATAGTGTAAAAGTGTATGCATGTTTCTTTGGGAGTCCTACTTGTGTTTGGGAGTGGAGACACATACTGCATAGCACCTTTACTTCACAGTCTGCTCTTCTCTCTTGAATAGTTCATCTCTGTGTGTGCATAATCTGTATTAATGTATTTATTTATATCTATATTGTTTTGTATATTAGCTATTATATCGAGAACATGTGATATGTGTACTCTTGGGACTGGCTTATTTCCCTAAGCATAATGGCTTCTGGCTGCAACCACTTTGATGCAGATACTCAGATTTCATTCTTTTTTTTATGGCTGAGTAGTATTCAGTACAGTAGATGTACCAGTTTCTTTATCCATTCCTTTGCTGATGGGCATTTGGGTTGCTTCCATGTCTTAGCTATTGTGAATTTTGCTGCTAGAAACAGGGTCGCAGACAACAGATGTATTTTAACAGCAACATTATTGTAGGGATTTATTCAGGCCAGTGTATGGTCTGATTTGCATTTTAAACACAAGCTCTATTCGATTCTTGAGAGGACAGTGAGCAGGACCAGCAGAGAGGAGGTTAGCTGGTCTGTGAAGTGGCAGATCAGAGACAATGATCGTTTTCTCCTCCCGAGCATTGATCTGAATGGGCATAAGGAAGCTCTACTGTAGCTTACAGCTCTTCACCTGGGTCAGTGACTTTATATTCCATTTGTGCAATGCTTAAGTTGTGGGGGGTGGGGTGGGGACGGATGTTAGGGAGCTCCAGAGCTTATACAGTCAAGCAGATTAGAAGTAGCCTCATGGAGATAACGGGCCTTCAAAGTGTGGTCCTTGGGCATAAGGCTTCAGCAGGGAGCTACTGCAGAGGGCCACCCAGAGGCAGAAAGCAGGGTAGAGGCTGCCCAGGGGCTTCTTACCCCAAGACAGCATAGGTGTGTTGTTCAAGAGAGAGATCAGGGCTGCAGGCAAAAATGGGCTGTATCTGCATGCAGGTTGGTAGACTCTGTACAAGGGAGAACTCGCTAAGGAACAAAAGCAGGGAGAGTAGACAGCTCAGGCTGCCAAAAGAACCCTGGGGTCACTCACCTGCGGGCAGTGGCCAAAGAAGGAAATGCAGGAAGGAGAGACATGGAGAGGAGCGAAGGAAGCAAGGGCAGCCATGTGGAAGCCCAGTGGGAAACAAGACGACCAGTGGTATCAAGTGCTGCACAGCCATCCAGGAGGACACGAGCTAACCTAAATGCACATATACTGAATGCAACACTTAGTCGAGTCCCAGGGGAGTCATCAAGGCAGAAAGCAAAATGCAAGGGTTAAGGTTGCAGAATTGGCTAAGAAAGCAAAAGCAGCAACAAAATAGAAAGCCTTGTCATCTCCCAAGACTGTCACAGCTGCCCCTTGAGGGCACTGTTATCTGTCCATCATTTCATGAAGGAGAAATATGGTTTGAACAGGTGAAAGAGCTGACCTCAGGGCCTGTAACCAGCAACAAAGCAGGGGTCAGGATTCAAATGTGGTGTGTCAGGCTCCGAAGCCTATTTTCTGACCAGCATTGCCCTTAGGTGCTTTGACAGAGAGGAGGGAGAGGGGGCAGTGGGAGACGATTTCTTAATGACAGAGCAGGCCAAGCATGAGTTCTTTGTTTTCTGGTGCTAGTCAGCATGTTGTCTACTAATTTTCTTTCTATAGATACTTTTTTATGTTTTAAGTAGTTGCCCTTGAGATTTTTATGGTATATTGCCTCTCAAATTATGTTGGAGTTAGGTTTTATTAGAGTGTGGGTCAATCAACTAATAAGCTCTTACTATTTTAGTCATGAAAATGTCGTTTTGACTCACTGGAAGAGAATGGAGCTAATGCACAATGATGTGTACTCACGATGGTGGCTCATTTGTCATTTCCTTTTTGTATCTGGAGCTGAACTTGTGTGCACCTTGACCTGGCTGTTGGGAAGTGAATGTCTCCTTGGTTGCATCTCTGTCTCTGTGCTTCCATCATTTGGTTATCCAACTCATCATTTTGCTGAGGCTTCTGTTTCTGGCAGCAGATGCTGAGCCATGGGGCCTGCTCCTGAGCTCACCCTTTGTGGAAGAAACAATGTCTGTGGCCGTAGAGAGGAGCAAGTGTTGCCTTAATGATCAGTCTGTGTCTCTGTGAACTGTCCGCTCACAGGATGTGCAGCTCGTCCTGGCGATCATTTCCTCCCACTTGGTGATGTGACGGTTTTATTTCCAGAATCCACTGCAAGCCAAAACTCACATTTCCCCCCAAAGCACCGTGAGGTTTTATTGCCTACATTCCCTTCTTTGTTAAGCAAGGCAGAGTTAGATGGTGAGACAATCTCTGGACAACTAATTCATTTTTCACTTGACAACCTCAAGATATGGGTCATTTTTATTGCTTCCTTTAGTCAATCAAATAAGAAAGCAGTCCCAGCGTTGTGTGTGTGCCGGGGGGTAGGGTGGAGAGAGGGTATCAGGTTGCCTTTGGACAGCAAACACGAAGAAGTATGTGACTAAAGGCACAGCCACCCCAACAACTGCCCTCCTATCAAACATTGTTTCGGAGCATGATCATTCTAAAAAAAAAATGAAGCGACACTGCCCCCTAGGCGACCAAGTGCAAAACTCCACTCACTGCCACTTGTTCCCCAGGGATGGAAGGCAGGAGAAATATTCTTGCCTATAAAATATTTAAGTCTCTATTTTAAAAGTAATCTAATTTAACCTGGTGTTGACACCATGTCTGTTCATGTAAATGATGTAAATTAACTATGAATGGCAAAGATCAGTACAGCTCTTCCTCTTCCTCTCCACTTCCTCACTTCACGTTCAGGAGGGAACAGCTACTTTGGGCTGTCAGCTATTTGGAAGCTCATTTACCACGGGTTAAGGGTTCTGCATCCATAATGTAAATCACTTGATTGATGGACCTTTGCCCTCAATGGCACAATCAGGTTTTTTTTTTTTATTATGGAGCTAAATTATTTTTTCTTAGCAAATGGAAGTGCCCCAGGAAGTTTATGAGGTGGCGGTGTGGGAGGTAGGACTAGAAATATGCACTCAGTAACTGGTGTCATTCCTGCTTTCTCTTTGTCCACAAAGACAAAGGAGTTGATGACCCAGGAGACGTGACCTGCTTTGCAGGCAGCAATAAAGGCAGCAACTCTGAAGTGCAGTCCCTGAGCTCCTACCAGTCGGATTCGGGCGATGACAATGGTAAGGGGGCTTCAGATTTGTTTATGCAAGTGGGCTCTATTTTCTGACGAGGGAGCAGTGGTTGTTGGGAGTGGGGGGAAATGCTACCCAACTGGCTTTGTGGGTCACTCCATTGCTGTTTTTGTCACAACCGACGGAGACCCTGGTGATCTGTTTGAGTCATAGAGGAACAGCCTCCTCCCAAATAATACTTTTTGGTAAATGGGGTGATTTATTTTTCGTAATTTGTGAATGACCTCGGCCCAATTCAGGGTTCATGCAGTCCCTCCATCATTGACAGTTCAGGGATAAGATCAGCTCTGGTAAAAACAAGTGATATCTTTATTCTAACAATTTGGGGTGATGGAGTTTTACAAAGCTTACTTTAGAGAAGTGTACGTCCATCCCAAATGCTACATGTGAGTCCTTGTGGTCCACAATGGCATTAGCACTCCAGGCTGCTACCCCTGCCTCTTGTGAGCCTACCGCTGTAGAGAAGGTGTTCAGGCCAGACAAGGTTTTCTGAGCTGAGGAACCAGCTTTGGAGAAAGGATTGTCCTTCCTAGAAAGATGGAAGGTAGACGGTCATACAAATGGATCTGCCATAGGGTAGTAAATCAAGAATACTTTTCAAAAATCATACACAGACAGAAGTCATCAGCCAAAGATACCCTACCTTTGTGTATTCTTTGGGTCCTTGTCCCATTTATCAGAAACTGGAAAACAATGAGATTTGGTTATATAATTACTTAGCTCACAAAATTTTGCTGTGATTTTCCCATGTGCTGAGTCTAATGCTGAGATTATTTTTATGGAGAAGCACAGAATGAAAATAACATTGTTCTCACCTCCGAGGTAAATTCACTAACAGGTGAGCTCTGTGACCATTTTTGTGTTCATGGATGTCAAAGTCTACCTTTGACCACTTCTACCCAAATTTACTCCACCTTATTGCCCCAAACCTAGCAGTCCCAGACAGTGGAGAAGCTGCTTTAACATGTAAAACAGCAGTTGCCTTCTTCTAACCCTTTATAGAAACTCAAAAGCAAACCACAAGCTCTATTCACCATGGTGTATCCTTCTTTACTTAGAAGCACAAGAACATTTCAATTCTAGACCCCAGGCAGCAGGTGCAATAATGATACCAAGTGACTTTCTCACAGACTGAGTGTACTGTTGAGAAAGGCCACAGACTTGCTCTGGCATGAAAAATTTGTGAATTGGTTTCAACTAAGGCTAGTGAAGTAGAAAGTTTGATCAAATTCTTTTGGTCACTCATTTCACAAATAGCAAATATCAGGTGTAAGGCAATCCATGTAGAACAGAGCTTCCCAGTTCTCCCTCTTTGAGAGGTCAAACTCTGCCCACAGCTTGCTGGTGGTGCCTAGGCCTTGGACTGTCCTAGGTTGGATGGCATTAAAACAGTGAAGCCATCAACTCTGGAAAGGTTGTCGTCTGTCTCTGGCATTTGGTTCTAAGTGGCATGACTGACCAACAAATAATGATCCTCTGAGAGCCTTTGGGATTTGCTAATGAGAAATTAGCATAAGTTTGATGAGCCACTGCCTCCCTAGATGGATTTTACTGGACCATGAGATGTGAATTTATGGCCAAGCAATCCCTGCCACTCATGCCTTTCCACTGAGCTGGCCTTGGCCTTGCTGCAGTTTGTCCTGGATGAGAATACCCACCAACATACTCCCTCAGGGACAGGTAGTGGGAAGGTGCGAGTGTCTGCATGATGTGCCCTGGTTATTGTGGTAGTGGTTAAAAAAGTTAATGTGCCTTGAAAATACACAACTAACCTGAAGTTGTCCTTCCCCTCTGTCTTCTTTTCCTGACCACAAGCCTCCATAGTGACTGTCATTCAGCTTGTCAACAATGTAGTTGACACTATTGAAAATGAAGGTACTTATTTATTTTTTTCTCCCATACAATTTCCTTGTGCAAAGTTACCTTGCAGAAATGATAACAGCCAGCTTGCAGCAGAGAGGGCAGTAACAGGTGGAGTGAAATGAGATGCAGGATTTTTTCCTATAGAGGAAATTTTAAAATATCAACTGCACTATTTTTTTCAATACATGTTAGACTCTTCTCTTGAAGAGAACTTTATAAAAAGAGTGCCAAGTGAGTATCCAAATTAATACTAAAATTCATTCAGGAAGCACCTACTGTGAGCTGGGAATATTTAAGAAATAATTCAGATCTGCAATATTTTGGGAGTGGATTTCAACCACAACTCTTACTAGTGATTTCATAGGATAAAAGTATGATATCGATGAGATTCATCTTTTCAGTTCCTAAATAGCCATGAGAACACCACAAAGGGCTAAACTTAATTATATCCCATAGGCCTTTAGAAACAGATTTTTACATCTGAAATGTTGTGTGTTGTTATTTAACCCATGCCTTGAATTGTCAGTTTTACTTTCCACTTTGTGTTTAAACAGTGTCGGTCATGGACCAAGGACAGAACTACAACCGAGGTGACTTGCCACACCCACCCCCTGCACCATACCACCCTGTCACTCTCTCTCCATCCTAAGTTTCTTTCATCTGAATTTTTGCATGTTCCAGGTGTCTTGTACATTCAGTGCTGCAGGTATAAGCTTCGCCAGCATTCCTCCCCCAGCATCATACCCTGCACATCTCCCTGCCTCCTGTGGTCCACAATGCAGTGGGTGACTCTTCCCAACCCCTCTCTCAGGAAGCATGACGCCAGCCTGGTTCTGCACACAGCATGTCCATAGGAGGAGGGAGTGGCACGGGGGCCAGGATTCTAGAACTGTGCTTCCTCAGCATGTCCTCCCTGGCCCTATCACAGCTTGGCTGACGGTCTAAGCAGCCATAAAGCAATCCCTATCCCAGTTGCCATTGCTTTGCTCTTAGGGCGAGAGCAGCATGGCTTGTCTGGATAGACTCTTGCAAAGAGCATGTGGTTGACCCTGGCCTCCTCCAGTCTCCTGGACATTAAGCATTGCATGGCAGGTCTTTTCCAGTCCGCTGAGCCCTGCTCCAGAGCAAAGGAAATTAACTGTCTTGGCTTTCCTTCCACAGCCTATCACTGGGACACCTCTGATTGGATGCCAGGAGCCCGCCTTTCAGACATAGAGGAAGTGCCCAGCTACGAGAACCAGGATGGAGGATCTGCACAGCAGGGTAGCACGCGGGAGTTGGAGAGTGATTACTACCTGGGCGGCTATGACATCGACAGTGAATACCCTCCTCCTCACGAAGAGGAGTTCATGAGTCAGGACCAGCTGCCTCCTCCCCTGCCAGCAGATTTCCCAGACCAGTACGAGGCCCTGCCACCTTCCCAGCCGGTCTCACTGGCTAGCACATTGAGCCCAGACTGCAGGAGGCGGCCCCAGTTCCATCCTAGCCAGTACCTGCCTCCTCACCCATTTCCCAATGAAACAGAGTTGGTGGGCCCACCTGCCAGCTGCGAATTCAGTACTTTTGCCATGAGCATGAACCAGGGCCCAGAGGCCACAGGCCCAGCAGACAGTGTATCTCTGTCCTTGCACAATTCCAGAGGCACCTCATCCTCAGAAGGGTCGGCCAACTGTGGCTTTGATGATTCTGAAGTAGCCATGAGTGACTACGAGAGTGTGGGAGAGCTCAGCCTCGCCAGCCTTCACATTCCCTTTGTGGAGACTCAGCACCAGACCCAAGTGTAGAAGACCTATTCCTGGTGCTTTGCCCTGTGGGTTATGGCAGAGCAGAGGAGACTGGCTAGCCTTGGGTCTCGATGGAGAGTAGCCTGTGCAACAAGGAAGAAATGTGAAGAAATTTCTCATTGGAAAGTCTCTGAAGTCGTACTGTCACAAGCAAGCTTGATTCCAGTTAGGTGGGAAGGGGTGGGGGAAATAGGCTCAGAAATTGTTTCTGAGAGGCACCTAGCAATCCTGGCTGCAGTTGGCTGGTTTGAGGGTTTAAGACTGTTGCACCTGCTAAGTTCTTCCCTCGAGGCTTGGTGCAGTATTGTGCCCTGGAGAGCATTACTGCCTCAGTTGTTTTTGCAGTATTAACAAGCAGCAACAACCAGTGGCGTTGTTGCATGTAACTTTGAGCCATTGAAATGAATAGCAATGAGTGGTAGAGAAATGAGTCCCTTAGATGAAAGACACGAGAAACAATTATTTGACAAACAAGAAAAATGGGCTGAAGCCTTTAAAATCAACTTTTCTTTCTAAGCTGCCCAATTTTCAGCTATAAAATTTGTTTAACTTGTTTAGTATGCTCAGTTATTTTTGTTTGTGTTAAGCATCCTCTATGATAGAGATAAGGTTTATGAGGCAGATCTCAGTGAAGAGCAAGCTGAGGGTACTGGGACTTTGCTCTGTGTGTTGACAAGAAGGCTAATGTTGTTCAACATTACCAAGATTGTGATTACCTGGTTTTGTGCTTTCTGGCAAATATCCTTGGCCAACACCACAATTTTGATATAGCCGAAGAAACTGGCTCTTTGTTCCCTAGGGTAAGAGACGTTGAAAAGTTGAAGCAGAATTCACAAATTCGGGGGTCAGAAAACCTGATGTTTTCAAAGTTTTCAGACTAGATAATCACAGTTCTTGATAATGAAGATAAAATGCACATGTTCATTGTCCCTGTAAAGTTACATTTAAAGAAAAGTAGATTAGTTATTGTGTATAAATTATACTAGTGTCTGTCTGGGTGTATGTACAGATTTTGTGCTTGCACTCATAAGGCTGCTCTGAGGAAAGCAAACATGAAGGTTTTAGGAAATGGACCATGTTGACAACCCTGCTAGGGGAGGATGGCCTCCCGATGTACCTGATCTACGATGTTAGAGAAATACCAAATGCCATGTTTTGCTCCAATTCAGTTAACTTTGTTTTGGAACTGCCATTTATATTAACGTAAGGTAAAATTGTGTTTCACAATGGTGTTTTGTTAGAATTATCCACAACTAAACCTCTGTTTGCAAACTAGGTCATGTTTCACCCATGTCCAAGGGTTCCCTCCCTTCTGAGATGGGGGTTTGGGCCATAACTTTTCAACCCTGACAGGAGAATCATCCCACTGGAAAAACAATTTACTACTAAACTTTTTGACAAGTTTGAGTGACTCTCCTCCTTTGCTTCAATCAGATGATGGCCAATTCAGTGGCCATGGTAAGTAAATGCATATTTGCACTATATGCTTAATGAGCAAATCTCTGTATTCAGAGTTTCTGGTGACATATGGCACTCGTGTGTACATTGTACTGTCTGGAGTCTACACGTCATCCTCTCAGACTTGTTTTTAGAATTTTCAGTTTGAATTTTTGGTAGGAATTGATGTTTATGGAAGTTTTTTTTTCCTGTTTTATTCTCAAACTTCCTGAGCAAATGAATACATTTTACAGGTATCCTTTCTTTTCCTGTCTCTTGGTCAGAACTGTTCATGGGAGGCATTGCCTACAATGTGGTCCTGAAACAAATGAATTTTCTTAAGACTCTTTTCCTTATATGTCAGAAGCACATTTGCAAAGATTATATTGAAAATGACAAACTAATGATCTAGAATCACTGCTTTGCTTTTAATGATGCAGTGACGTAAAAACCATCAAAGTAAAACCAACAATTCATTTATTTCCCCCAGGAAATGCTAGAATGAGATTAATGCCAATGAGTCATTATTGCTTACATAGCATTTCTTGGAGGGAAAGTGGCTGACTGACACACTAATGATGGAGTAAATAGATCCTAATGCAATTGGAAGAAAAGTATGCCCACCCTTTGCTCTGACCTATATAAAATACCTCTCTGCCTTCAAGATATCTTCTCCCACCCCGCCCCTGGTTTTCTGCAGAGTAACTCTACAGTTAGATGTGTACTAGACAATCATGTGTTATGTCTTGACTCATCCTCTTTAAACACATGATACCTCTTTGGGTTTGCAGTCAGGGCATCATGGAAATAGTTGGGATAACAACTGATACAAGGAACTGAAAGGTCCTTAACATATAATCCAACCCCCATATTTTATTATAAGGAAAACATGCTGAGAGAGGGAAAGAGAATTTCTCTAGCTCACATAGGAAGTAAATAGCTGAACAAGCATTAGTCCTGTCCATCTATCCCGTCTTCTTTTGCCACTGCACTACCTAGATATGGTAGCCCTTTGCTTTTCATGGGCCCTCTGACTGCCTACCCTTCATTCTTTGGAATATGCAAGAAAAGAAATCTCGTGGAGAATATTTCCCTAGAGGGCTCATGAGCTCATGTTTCTTGACAGCGCTCTAGGAAGGATGTAGTTAACAGAATTCACACTTTTGGGAGGGGGGGACATTTACCAAAATGCTGCTTTTGCCAAATGAATGTTTCTCAAATGAGGGTGGAATGATTATTGCAGAACAGAACTCAGACCGAGTCATCAGTTGTAGTGGGACTGATCGTAATAGTAACTGTTAGGTTCCTGTTTGGTTTTGTTTTTTTCCTTCAAATCAGCAGTGGCTGATGTTTTTCCACTGTAGTGAAACATGTGGAAAATATTTAAGCTAATTAGCTGCTTTCGCTTTTTTCTAACATGTACATGGAAGCCATTTTCCACTACCTGTTGTTGGCACTTTACTTGCATTGCACACATTCTGGTCAGGTTGTTCCTGTTTGTCATAAATTAAGCAAGAGTTATGTGGCAGCAGAAAGTGAATAATGAAAGTACTTACTTCATTCCCTTTGTATTTGCTGCTGAGTTGCATTCCATGCCAACTTTCCATGTGCCCGTGTACCATCCACCCATTGATGAGATATCATAAATGTGATGAGTAGCTTGAGTCTATGCATGTGAGGTTCACTCCAACAAATCATCAGCGCGAACAACTTGAAATGGAATTTATTCCTGGAATGACCTGAAACAACCCTTGGCCATCACCTGCATAGCCTGTGAAGGAAGAAAGAAGACTTTGTGTATTCCGTTGGCAGTCTCCTATTCCCTTTCTGTCCCCGTTCTCCACTATGAATGCTGTCTGTGTATCAAAGTCAGGGGAACTGAGATAACAGACCATAAAACACATCACATAAGTTCTACGAAACACTTTGCTTTGAACTTTTTCAGGAAGATCTATTACTCATTAGGCATGTGCTGTTCAGGTGATTATCTGGCCTCCTCACTCTGCTGCCTTCCCAGGGCACATTCTAATGTCCTTAGGTTTTTATGGTTTAAAGTTTTGATTTCAACTCATGGGAGATATGAAGACACTCTGCCTCAGTGTCATCACTTTGTATGGTCTGTAAGAAGGTGCTTATGTGTTTTTTGCTGGTTTGTGTCCTGCAATGTTCAACTGCACATTATCCTGATGGAAGTTTGCAATATCTTTGAGCTTCTGGTTGTATAACTCTGCGGTTCAAAGTCATTATCTGTGGGTTTAGCGTCAGTTAATGTTAGCCAACTGGCTAAGAGATAGGAAAAGAATACTTCTTATGTAATAATGAAAAGCAATAAATACAAGTATAATACACAAAGGCCATAATTAGTCTCTTGCAGTGTTTAGGATGCACTAGAGGATTGCATAGACATTTGGGGTATATCTGGACCCATTAGTACGTACAGTAGTGTCCTTTCAGCAAATATCTGAATTGCTACTATTTAACAGTTTTATGAGCCCATACTACTGCATTTGGGGAGTGACAAATGTGTTTGGAAATGGAAGCAGTTCTTTTTAAGCACTGTATTGGAGAGATTGTCTTGTACATTTACCTGTTGCAAACAGGCTGGTTTGTAAAAGATGTATGTTTTGGTGTTTAAAATGTTTATAAAATTGTATATAAATGGTTTCAATTTTCCAGGCTTTTGTAGATACTTTGATGCCTATCAGGATGCTTTAATTTGGAGGGTCGAATATAATTCTAAGTCACTCATGCTGTTGGTCTGCAAATCTTTGAGGTAGTCACACATGCACAAAAAAAATTTAGGTTTTCAAATGATATTTTTTCATCATTTCAAAATGTACTGTAATTTTCTTTTGGCACTGTGTTCATTGATCTTCATCTATTTGCAACAAAATGTTTATATTGACATTTTAAGTACTTTTTTGCCAAGTTACGAAGTACCCACTTTGTACATGATTTCAAAGTCAACATGAAGCCTGTTGTCTCCTCATACTCCTGTACACTCACCTTGCACAGACATCACGCACCAAACCTTATGCAAGGGGAAAGCTGACACTGAAAGTGCACCTTATCCCTCCAGGAGAGAGATTGTTCCTGCATAGATTGCTGTTGGCAGTATTCAGTCTTGTGGTCTTTTTCTAAAAAAAAAAAAAAAAATGAAAAAAAGAGAAAGCAACGAGCAAAAAGATAGCCAAAAAAAAGCAAATCAACAGTGTACAGGTTTGTAACTGCCAGAATTTGATGGTTAAAATAAGTTTTCAAGTAAAAAGAAAAAAAATGAAACTAACAATTGTGTTGACTTTTTTTTCAGTAACATGTATTATATTTTTTATGGGATGGAGTGCAGAATTTCAGCACACACAATATTGAGTGATTAAGCTTGGTAATTACAATAATAAGCATTTATAATTCCATGTCTTTCATTATAGTGGGACCCTACCGGCTCCTCTCTTGCAGTGCCTTATGCAGAGTATGATACCTGGGAGTTAGCCATACCCCAGTACTGTGACACTAGGAGCTCTTACTTCAGTCTGACCTCTGAACCTCTAATACTCACCATTCTAAGTTCAGGACTTCTTTTTCTTACATTTCCATATATGATAGAGAGCATGGCTTGATTCCTTTTATGTATCTTTCATTACCTGGGCTTATTCACAGGGCACCACACAAAGGCCAGTCAAAACTCTCTAGTCCTGGTTAATACAAAGATTGGAGTCTGAGGCATGCCCCTCTGATCCCGAGGGGATAGTTTTGTTGTGTTTGTATGGCTTCCACCACTGCCTACCCCAGGAAATCCTTACCTCCCAGAGAGCTGTTCATTCTGGCACACATTATGTTATGTAGCTACTTACTGGGAACATACTTTATGATGGTGTGTGTTTTCCTGATGAGAACTCCCCAACTCTGCTTGTGATCCAGCCGCCTGCTAATGCACCTGGGAAAAGAGCAAACAATGGCACAGTTGGCACTTTTCTTCCCAAAACTCCAGGAACAATGAAACTCAGTTAAAATATACATTGAATAGGAAGAGCCAGATGTGAGGTAGAGCTCACGCTGAAGGTTTAAAGTGGAAACAAAAATCACACACTGTTACTCCAAGATTAGGAATAACTCCAGAAGCACTGAGAAGCCTTCTGGCTTACCTCCTTTTTTGAGAAGAGGCCAGGGCCTGAGGTCCGAGCAGTGTGAAGAAAAGGCACCTGGAGTAGGTCATGCATGGGCCAGGAATGGAACTCCACTGTCCCAGCTAAACCAGGATCCCAAAGCAATGGTAACCATTTCCCAGGAAAGGGTCATCGCTCACCATGCTTTTCTCCAAATCAAAATCCTTGTTGATTATAGCAGCTCAGTTTGGCAGAAATCACTGCACTGCAGCCTCCTGCCAGCTTGTCCATCTACCCTGCTGTTGTGCAGGGAAATGTTTGACAAGCAGTAAACAAGGAGAGCACTGATCTGTTGTACTTTCCAATTCCCTGCTGTAAATACTTTTATGTTACCTGACTTAAATCGTCAAGATGCTGGGAACTGACACATGCATCCTACGCATCTAACGGTAGTGTCTCATGAGTCAACGCCAACACATCAAGTTCTCCCCCACTCCACCATAGGGTGATTAAAGGAAGAGCAGTGTCTTCATATAGCTGGCTCCCAAGAAATATGTGTAGCTGAAAATTAAGCAATGATATCTGTAGCCAAATCCACAAATCCTCCTGCATTGTTATTGTTATTTATTTTGATACATGTAGCCACTTCAATGA